AACCCGCTGGTTTCCTGATGTGTTTGGGGTCTTTGTCCACAAGGGAGTTTCTTCTACATCATAAGACAACACGACTTCCTAAATGCATTCAAACTGGGCCGTGATCCCGGTCAAGCCCCATTTATCCTGTAGGGAAGAACCGATTTGACACCATGGTATGAGAAATATCCCCGCATGGTGACTCAATTCCAGCAGTTCACAGAGTACCGTGACTTGAATTCAGTATTTACGATCGTCTGGCAATCTGTGTGTGGCCCCCGCCTTAAAACGAAAAAAAGAACAACATTGCTTTCATCAGTCCATAAAATGCTGCACCGTTTCTCTTCAGGGTAGTTGATGTTGCCTGTTAAACTGCAATAACACAACGTTTTCAGGGGGGTTTTGCCATACACTTGATTTTATGTAGACAACTTCCATTTTTACAGAACTGACATCAGCTATGATCACCGACTACTGTGTTGTTTCTTTTTTACTGAGTTTTACTAAAGGTGTGCGACACTGCCTATTTTTGTTTCAATCTGATACCACGTAAACCCAGATCCCATATCGCCGATACTGATACCGATAACATTTTTTATTCAAGTTCGCTACATGATCAAATTTTTGACCATCAGGTGTTATTGGTTTTTTTTTCCTTTGGTTTATTTTTGTTTCAAATCTAGAACAGAATTTGGACTAACCTTCCACAAAATACTCCCTTTTAATGCCACACTAACATCACTCGTGTGCATTTCTTCTACATAAACAAGATGCAAAAAATATATAATGTGAGAGCAAATGAAAACAAAATGTTTTATTTTTTTAGAGGAAGTTGAGAAACCAGCTTGCAAAAATAAAAAAGCGATCTGAAACTATGGTAGTATCGATACTTCCTCGGTGTCGACATTCTGCAACGATTTGTCCGCCTCTACTTTTTACCATTCCGTCAAACCTTTCATTTTATTTGAATCACAGATTCCCTTTTCTTCCACATCTTTTATTTTACTGTACCACTAATTATTTCATTGGATGAAAGAGGTTCAGTGACATCTGATTGGGTCGTCGCCACATCGAAAATGGCGGCATGTAAAGAAGTTTTGACCCGACGTTTTGTCAAAACATCCCAAATCATGTGGCAAACGCCAAATTCCTGCATCTGGGTTGGAAAATGATTGACTCATAACATGGTGATGTTTTCTCATACTCAACACAAGTGCAATCTGTGGTTCCAGACACAGGCTTCTTGAGTGACTGACATCAGATCCCATTTCTCAGGTCAGAGCCAGGAAACAACACGGGAGGCCTGCTGGTAACGCACGGCTGACACCACGCAACCAGTCCACAGTCGAGCAACGAGCCTGAGAAAGCACTTCACACTTACCTCATGCTCTCACATAAAACATTCATCTTCTGAGAGAAAAACTGACAACATCCCGCTGCAAAAAGAAAAGCCACAATTCTGAGCTGGAAGGAACGTCACCGCGTGGCAACAGTAAGCTTTTTTGGACGAATAGCTTCCTACACAAAAAACACGACAATCATGTGGTCTTTAACTCGTCATCTCAAAAATTAAGATTTGGTTTTATTTAGGTGTTTTTGTAGTAGTCCACTGCTGTATTTTTAAATAATCAAGAATTAAAGGTTCATGCAAGCGTCTGCGTGTCCATCTTGGATCGATCAGCTTAATTTCCTCGGTCCTCCTCAACGTTTAAGTGTAAGAAAATGGATGGAAGCGATTCTAGAAATATTGTTACTACGTTTTGGTTTTGTAATCACAAATAGGTTTTACTGCAAATGTATTTGTAAAACTTTCACATTTTTAGGATCTTGGAGTTTTTTTTTTTGTTTTGTTTTGTTTTTTACTGATTTGTGATTTTATTGGAAAACCAAAAAAGAAAATCTCATTTTCAATTGGGATTTGAATTAAAAATGAAATCCAGTGTTATCGCCAGCAGGTGGCGATAACATCAAAAACAACATCAAAGTTCAAAAGGTGAAAATATGGCCCTGTGAGGCTAAATTTTCTACAAAAATAAGTACAGCTTTTGTTTTCTTTAACACTTTTTCAGATTTTTCTTCTTGTCATGAAATTATTAAATATTAAATACAATTTAAAACTTCATGAAAATAGAGTCAGGAAAGTATCGATGTCAAGCTGTCAGCCCGGCGTTACTGGATGACATAAATTATCATTTTGAGATTTTAATTTCTACACATCACTTCTCTTAAGTACTTTTGTTTGAAATGATTTACTTGAAATGACCTGCATGTTTTTTTTTCCTGATTTGTATCCTTTCAACTTTTAAAAAATTTGTATTCGAGCCAAAAAAAAGTTTGACAGCCTTGACAAGTTTCTTCTTTCCCAAAAAAATTAAAAAAAAAAATGCCCTGAAACTCTAGGCTCAGTTTTCCGGGGATTTTTTTGTATTCATATAAATTATATTTTATTTTCCATTTTATAAACGCATGTATTTACGTTAGGGAAATTTTATAGAAGATAAAAGTGCATGCAGATTTTTATTTTGTTTCCATGTCCTTTCCATAGAAATGTCCCACAGCATGGTGCTGCCACCGTGGTTTCTTGAGATACGCGTTGTGATGGACAGTGTTGGACGCCTGCCTCATAAAAGTTTTCTTTTCTGAAAAGCGCTGTCATTTGCCACGGGAAGTAAACGAGGAGCCTTTCATCAGCTATTTTTAGGATCGGTTGTTTTCCTGGAACGGGGCTGTAAGGATAAACGAGAAGGTGAGGAACACGTCTGAAGGCCTCCTAAATCTCACTTGATCTCTGTGTTTTCCATTTGTGCGCAGGGACTCTGCGGCTCACACTAAAGTAATAATCTCTGCTCATGCTAGTCTGGCTGAAGTCAAAGATAAATGCTTTTTCTCCACAAGGGATTTATGTTGAAGTTCAGATAGCTTTTCATTTTCTTTGCTAAGCGTTGCCTCCTCCTACGGTTTATTAAAACTATTTTGCAGGAACATTTGCATCTTTCATGCTGCTGTTGTGTTGAAGGATACCCTGCTGAAACGTTGATGTTCAGGGAAAAGCCTTCTAATAACTAACGCAACATGTTTCCAGTGTAAAATATGAACCAATGTAATTATAGATTATGGATTTGTTTGTTGTTTGAAGCGGCTGCCTCCTGTTCGTGCTTCAGCTCCGGAGTTGCAGCTTTTCTGACCGTGTCAGTCCAGCTCAGCGTCTCGTTTCCAGCAGAATGAAAACCTTCACAGGACCGGCGTGGTTCTCCCGAGGCAGCAAATCTTTATCAGTGTCAATCCACTTCTCAGAAGTTCTGGGCATTTCGAAACGGAAGGGGAAGGATATGCAGCTCGACAATATCAAGAAACACACAGAGATGGTATCTTGTTTCGCTCCAGTCAGAGCGATGACTTAAAATATGAAATCAAACCCTCCGCAGCCTGTTGCATTTGCAAAAACCTGCCTGTCGGCGGCACCTACTGAGCTGTTTCCTTATCGACTCAATCTTCCCTCTACAGGTTGCAGGTAGTGATAAATCGGTAGCTGGAAAGGTCATGCATAAAAGGCTCTAAATGAACTTCTTGCTTCAGAACTAATTTTCATAGAGCCAATTTTTGTCAGCGGATATGTGAAACTGCTTAACAACTACGCGTATCGTATTTGAACTCCATGAATGTGGAAGCACACCGGTGACCTTTCAGCAGTATATGTAGTGAAATGTCAGCCACTGAAAAGAGTAAGAGGTCAAACCGACCCTGATGGGACTGACCTGTGAGATAGCTGTTCTCAGATTAGATGAAAGATGGAGCATCACATAGCATGTATCATTCATTTAGCATTAGCATTTTTGCTGTTGCATTTTATTATGCTTCCTTGAACAGGTTAGGGTAGTTCTATGGGCGATACAAAACATGTCCATTTAACATATCATGCTCAAAATCACTCATAGATAATGAGATTATGATCTGCTGAGCTCCATTCAGAACAAGCTGTTGCAGTTTAAATCCAGATTAGCTGCTCCTGGCCGCGCCCGCCCCCGAGCCGCCTCCACCCCCAAATTTAACATTTACACGGATGCAAACAGCTGCGCAGCTGTGCAACCATACATCTTTGAAAAGCAGAAGTGTAACCTCCTGCTCAACCAGCAAGACTGTAGCAGGCGGTTTCTGGATGGCCAGTCAAGACACTTGTCCTTTCCAGGGGCCATTGTACAGTGCTTAAAACCAGCTGACCAAAAGTGCTGGAGTTCCGCTCGGGTTGCAGGATGATGGGCTGAGCTCAGGTGGGGTTGCAAAGTAATGGTGCAGTGCCTATTGATTATGACTCAACAATCTGAAGGTCTTTGAAATGGCTTATTTTCCGTTGCCAAAAAATATCGGCATGGATTCTTTTTTTAAGTGCTTTGGTTTTCAGTGGTATACGGAGATATGCTGCCCTAAAACATGCTCAGGATTCACATCTGGAAGCATTCAATACTGCTGCATGCATAATTTGATCACTATCTATTCCAGGTCATCATTTTTTTTTAAATATGAAGAAAACATATGCATAATAGACATACGTTCTCCCCACTACTTTAGCACAATGTGACCTCAAAGTGAAGAAAGCCTGAAATTCTATATTCCAAATCTATTTTCCTTAACATATTAGTGGTTTTAAAAACAATTAGTGTCCTCTGTGTGGAATAGATAAGACGTGCTGACAGAACCCGGTTCAAAATAAGTGATGCGCGCTCGTCAACAGTGTTTGTGCAGCCCCCTTTTCAGGAGGCCCATCCAAAGCTTTAGGAAGATGAATTTGTTTGGAGTCAGGCCACCACATGCCGAGTGACTCCACAGTGAAGCCATCAGCCGTAGTGATTGATGCTCCCCGCCAGCGGGCCGTCGCCTGCAGTAGCTCTGCGGCTGATTCATGGCGGAGTCTCAGATGATGCAGCAGCCGAACTGCTGGTGATGACTTAGAAGTGGGTGTAGGTGTGGAGAGCCGAAACGTCACGAGAAACTCTGAGGGACTAACACTCACACACCGTCCAAGGCCAGATTGAATTGCTGTTTATTATTGACAAATAAGCAATACAAAATATTCAAACAATCCATGAAGCAGCAGAGGGAAAACTACAAACGTGCAAAAAGTCACTGGATTTGCCCACGTAGTGCGTGTGTGTGTGGGGGGGGGTTGCATGTGTGTGTGTTGCAAATCGTGATTTTTGAAGCAACCTGAAAGCAGAACACAAAATATCACAGCTGTTTGCTATTTGTCAAAAGTAGGAAAATAATAATAATAATAATAATAATAATAATAATAGCAATAATAACGAACAGAAAGCGAAAAGCTGTGAGGTGTTTTGCAAACCACAGACTTGAAACAGCTTTTTGTTTCCAAATATTTTCATCTATTCTACCTTAGCATTTAACTTTCACCCACTGCACTGAGACAGTTTTAAAGAAATGATCAAAACAGTTTTTTTTTCTTCTTTTCCAGCACATTTAAAAGTACAATACTCCATGAAGTTCACATTGCACGGCACACAAGTTTTCAAACAACTTTACAATATAGACGAACAAAAAACCCGGAAAAACACAGCTGTTGATTTTAAAGCGTGTCCCTTTCGTTAGCTGGTCTCTCTTGGAGACGGGCCACATGCAGAAACTGCAAGGTTCCTCACCATTATTTCATAGGTTTGTGTTGTTGTGAAAGAAGACGGGCTGTTTCAAACAAGCATGGGGTGAAACAGTTTTGTAGAGTTACCGTGTCGATGATACGACGGCCTCGTCCGACTTCGCCAAAGTTCATCCACGTGATGAGGAAGCTGAAATGTCTTTCATTTGAATCCATCCAGCTAAATTAAGCCCATTCTGCAACCCTGCTGAGTTGGACTGACCCTGAGAGAAATGATCCATATTTGACCCAGGGTTGTTTTTACCCAGCATCTTTTCAAGTTCGAAGAGATTCTAAAAACCCTCCTTAAAGCTGCAATCTGTAACTGTTATGAAAACAAAAAGTGTTTTATGTCCCAGTGCCAACTGCAGAAACAGCCTGCTCTGTCAGAAACAACCAATCAGAGCCAAGAGGAGGGTCTCACCATAACGTATTTTGCCATGAATGCTAAGGCTAGTATGACTGCAGAAAAACAGTTTTCCTGTAATGGTAAGTTGTTTCTCCGTCATCATCACATTGAGTGGACGTACACGAGCATGACTGGCAGCACTAAGACCCTCCTCCAGGATCTGATTGGTTGTTTTTGACACGGAGAGGTGCGTTTCTTCAGACGGCAATAGAAGCTCACGGAGGACGTGGAGGAGATTGATCTTTTCACACATTGCCTGTCTCAGATTATACTGACAAAATAATGGTAATTTTAACAAAAAAGTTCAGCTCATAAGGGTGTTCAACTCACCTACATACAAAACAGAAACTCAGAGATACTCCCACCACCCCACCAGCAGGCACAGCTACACAGTCATATGTAACAAATTAGAATATTCTTGAAAATAACTTTGACTTTAATGACTGAAGTTACTAAGTGAAACATGTTGTGTAGATGAATTACGCACACTGATGTTTTCAAGCCAATATTTCCATCAACAATCATGCGTCAGTGAGAGGCAGAGGCCGGCGGGAAGTTTGTGTCGTACTTTCTGGGCTGTACAACAAAAAAAGATTTTGCTTTCACTCTTCGAGTTATAATTTTTGCTGTTTGTTTAATTAGAAAACAACGCAAAAAATTGCTTTGTTTTCATAATGTTTCTGTTTACCGTCTGAATATATGTTGTTAAATTAGCATGTTGAGACCTTACCTAAATTCTGTCCTAAATATTTTTATTTTTTTCAAATCCAGAAGAAAAAAGAAAAAAATTGCCTGAAGGTCAGATGTTTGATGGCTTCACAGTTAAACAATGAGTATCGGTACTGGTATCAATCAATATCGGCGATACTTTATTTGGTATTGGATCGATACCGAAATACGCAGTATCGATGAGAAGTATGTTTAACACCTGCTTAGAGGTTATTTCCAAAACGTATTTGTCAGCTACCTCATCAATTTATTAAATATGGCACACAATGGGTTTCATCGTGCTGCTACATGTCCCATCACTGGTTTGTGGAGATTCCTGGAACAAATAACTCGAAAGAAAAGCGCTGCCTACTGCCAGCTGAAACTGAATACAGCAGCAGGAACACGTTTCTGCGTCACTGTAGCTCGCCACTCGCTGACGCACGCGGGCTCTCCACTTGATGGCAACCAAAGCAACGCCGGGTCTTTGCTCGGTGTGTCTGTCACATCGGAGGACTAATCCAACAACTCCCCCGCTGGAATCATTAGCATTCAGGTGATTCTAAATTGACACAGCAAGTTTAAGTGAGTGTCTAAATGCGTCCGCCTCTTTCTCTGCCGAGTGCGTCGTTAAAGGTCACGTAATGCGACATCTGGGTTGTGCCTGCGGAAGCGAAATTAAAATGTCACGCCGGTGTACGTTTGGATTAATTCAGATTACATGGCTTCAGGTGGGAAACGCAAAGAGGGACGGATTCAGTAACTCCAGTCGAAACCCAGTAGAATATCGGTTGCAAAATGAAACGCAGTGACAACGACGTTTGCATGATAGTGACTTCAAGATATGTAACTTGGATTTCATTGGTGAAAAGTTTGCAAACAATATCAATTTTAGTCCTTTACAGATGCTTCGAGCATTTATTTTTTTATTCTCAAATGAACAAAAAATTCATTTAACTAAACGTACTGATAAAAATGCATGAATCTGACATGAAGTCGTCCCAGAAAGAACTTTTTAAACTTGATGTCGAAACTAAGAGGAACATTGTGTACCTATTACCGTTTCTGACATTTCAGGAAGTTTTTAAAATCTTGAGGAAAACATAAACCTTGAATTCTGTTGAGCCAGAAATCACAAAAACAAACAAAATATTTTCTTATTGTTAAAAGGATCTGATCCGAGAAACAAGTATGCAGCAGCTTTTGCTCAATTTGTCTTGCAATATCGCGTCACATTTCCTCCAGTGGTTGCATGCTTATGTCTTTTCTTCATTTAATTAGCTTTCGCTGTCTGACACGTTCAAAACTTTGATGTTGCCGATGCAGGAGCTTCATTGACACGTTTAAATTCCTCCAACATCGGAGCGTCTATCTCGGAAATGCATCAGCAGCACTGCAAAGTCGTACTTGGCTTTGCAGACTCGCTCTCTTAGCAAAATAACCCTCAAGCCTTTTCACTTAAAGACAGTCGGAAAAGACTTTTCTCCTGATGAAGGTTGCCTTGAATTGGATTATTAAAATCGGACTGAACGGATTCTGAGCCAGTACTGTTCAGATGATGGTGCTGGGATCCAACGTGTCTGCATGTCTGTTTGTGATTTTAAAGCCAATAGGTATCTTTAAGGAATGTATTTTTCTGTTTATATGTTTAGGTACAATTTTGTCCTGTTGTGGTTTCGAAGAAGCCACAAAAATGTACATTTGTGCTGCCAATTGTATTATTTTTAAATTTCGTGCTCACTCTTGAACAAGAGCAAGTCAAACACATTCTCCAAAGCCTTAAATTTGATTTGAATTTTATAGCAATAATGAATACTAGTGAACTTTTTTCCATGGCGTTGTGTTTGATGCGGTTCTAACTCGTTGAAATAAAGCAATCTCAGCTAAATGGACAAAACATTTAACTGGAATGTCAATGGACTAAATCCTCTGCGTTTAACAAGAATATAAAAAAAAAAAGTTAATTACCTTCCAACTGGCCGAATTATTCATTACATTTCAAAATTTTACCAAGGCCAATATGCTTAAAGGCATCAAAATTTTAATCTTGATGAAAATTTCTCGAAAGGTTCTGCATTATCTTGTCATGCGAAGCAGTTAAAACGCATCATCTGCTATTTATTGCGTTTTTAATTCTGTGTTAAATGAAAACGTCATCCATCGCACTGCCTTTCAGCTCCAGAGTTTCTTATTAGCTCAGCGAATAATGCATCTATTGGAAATTTATTTATTTATTTTTTTTCATTAAAAGCAGACTCGGTGGCGGTGGTGCTTCCCCCGGCTTGGTGCATCAAACGTGCAGAGTGTGTAAATGATGTTCGCCTCCGGTCAAACATTAGACTGTATACCCAGCAAAGGGAAGTGAACGCACAAGTGCCTTGAGCAACACTCTTCCAGGGGTGTACTAAAAAGTTCAGAGGATTAGTTCAAATAGCAGCTGGGGTCTTGTCAGTGTGGAATTAGCTTGTTCTCCCTGTGCATGTATAGATTACCTCCAAGTTCCTCACACGTCAAAAAACATGCATGATGGGGTAATTGTGCTGTCTGAGTTCCCCCTAGGTGAGAGTGTATGTCTGTTTCTCTTAATATCCCTTTGTTGGCTATTTATCAGGAATAATGGGCACCCAACTCCACAAACACCCTTCAAATATGAAGCGGCTATAAAAAATAGATTGATGGATTATCAGAGAACAGAGTTGCTGTGTGCATTAACTCCTCCAATCGGTAATCTTTCAGTTTTTCCCAGAAGTCATCTGATATGAAGCTTTCGCTGAATAACTAAGCATAACTGCAAATACTCTCTATTTTGGATGACTCAAAACTGTTCTCTTAACTTATTGTGTGCAAAATATTCAAAGCCCACAAAACATGACAGGGGGTGGACTTTAGTTTCATCAAATAACATATGAACAAGAGCGAAAACTCAAGCTGGACATGTCGGCGCGCCTTCAACTTAAACCTGACTAAACTCAACAGTACGTTGTCTACTCTGGGTGCAAACATCGTCTCTACTCAGGCATTCACTTTTCTGCCAGTGAGCGAGGCATCCACCACATACTGCTTCTTTTTGGCACTCTGTAAGATTCCGGCAGGCATGCACTGGTTGCACGGCGAGTGCAGCTCGTCCATTTCCGTCGTGAAGTGGTCCGGGCTTTCCCCGTTGGACGTCTCCTTGATGACGCTGTAGGTGAGAGCCACGCTGTAGGACGCTGGTTTCTCCAAGCGCTGGGGGCCGCAGCGACACAGCTTCTTGAAGGCGGTGCGGAACTTTTGCGACATGGCGTTGTAGATCACCGGATTGATGGCGCTGTTCAGGTAGATGCAGAGACGGCAGAAGAGCAGGAACCAGGTGTCCAGGTAGGGTTTGCCTAGGAAGGAGTTGACCACCACTAAGGTCCGGTAGGGCATCCAGAGCAGGGCGAACAGGACAACGACCACGGCAAGCATCTTCGTCACCTGGTGAAACATCAGTCGGTCAACATTGGTTAGAACGGACGGGAAGAGGGCTGAAAAATAAAAAACGGCAAGCAAGACATTTTACTCAAGGTATCTGCTCATAAGGAAGCAAATGGGTATCTCTAAGCACGCCTTGTTAAAAAGAAGAATCTAAAGCCACCAATTGTTTCAAAGCTAGCCACCACCCAATCAAAGAGTATGGCACTACTGACTGTCATGGCTGAACACCGAAACTGATAGAAGAACGTTAATCAAAGGAAAGGGCAGAAGGCCCACGGTGACTCCGCTGAGATCCACAGCTAAGGCGAGACAATCCGTTGAGTAGATAAACTCAACAAAGGTTGGCGTTACAGAAGACAGAGAAGAAAAAAACCAAACATTTTCAAGACACCAAAGAAGGAAGGCATTCCAGTCGAATGGATCAAAATGTTAAAGACTTTTTAAAATCACTGGTAAGACTTGTCGATTTCTGCTTACAGAAAACTCTCCAGCAAGTCTGATGGAGACACAATGAACTACATTAACTGTTCAAATAAAACAATAATAATCAGTGCCTGCCAACTAGAAATTTAAATATTTTGTGATGCTGGAATTAATGGTTAATATATGTCATAATGATATTTTCTTTATGTGAGCGCTTTGGATATGAAGACCCCAGACCTACAATATGTCTGTCCTCACATATCTATTTATTGCAACTTCCTGCATCTACTTGCCCCATACATCCAGTTGCATCCTAAAACCATGTGTTTTCATCTAAGCCTATCCTATCAAATCCAGTCAGGTGTCGATAATGCCCGGCTCTCTGTGTCTAATGCTCCTGATTTGCTGTAATGACCGGCTGCTGGTTGCTCCGGCAACTTTCTGGCACCGCATTCGCTTCATCCCTGATGCTTCCAGTTATGCCCTCTGACGTCTAAAAATGCAATTTCGTCTCATCAAACATGAGATTGTTCTCATGCTCAAACAATCGTATGCAGATTGGAGAAGCCAGAAGGGTTTCTGGATGCGTTGTCTGTTTTTGTCAGGCAGTGGGATAATTTATGGAAAATCTGTCACACATGCCCTCCATTGAGTAGCTGCAAGAAAATAAAACTAGTAATTCCAATTTTTCAACCTGTAACTAGCATCTGAAATAAGCTTGTAGTTTGCAAGCGCTTTAATACCTCATAGGCGTTCTGGTTTTTGTCACGTTAAATTTGCAAACTAAATATATTTTTCGAGCCTTTTACTCGTTAGTCAAAAAATTTTAATGAAATGTAATGATTGTGTAGTGGAAAGAAAAATCATACGTGAGTTTCAAATTAGCTTCAGAAATAAAAATATAACAAAATAGCTCCAACTCAGTTACGATGGAGGGAGAGTGCATAACCATTTAACTTGTCAAATAGTCTTTGACTAGGTCATTCTAAACTGTGAGCGGACGAATGTTTTCTGATGCCTCAAAATGCAACATTTGTGTAACTTTATGTCATGTCTTGTCAACTGACATCAAATGTCAGGTAGTGAGTAAAGTAATGGAGATTTCCAGTGCAAAATGAATGTCCACTTGCCAACTACATGTCTCCAACATATAACAGTTCAATTTATTACCCGGTATCTGAAAAGCAATGCCATTTACAGCCAATATTTTTTTTGTTCTTTTTCTCAAAAATACATGATTTTGTTTAATTTGTCAGGGTCTACAATCACACGACAGTTCAGACTTTGAAAGTATTTGACTCATTTTTAAGTCCAAGATGTCCAGAAGGAGATTTTCTCACTCACATGAACGTGTCGTCAGCAGGCATTGAACATTAGACTATAGCACCACCTTCTGCTCATAACTTTATGTTAAATAAACATTAAAAAAAGTTAGCTTTGAGGCAACACACACAACTTAATGTTCAATTTTTTAACATCCTCAAAATCTGATTAGGTTTATCTTATAGGTTCCTGTTCAGCTAATAAATACATTTTGAAGAATGATGAACTCACAGAAATTGGATTTATTTCTAACAGTTTTGGTAAATATATCCAGACAGTATCACAGGTTTCTGGTTATTATACAGCAAAACAAAACTGTGATGATTTATGAAAGAGGTCAAAAAAGGACTTTCTGTCCTTGAAAAAAAATCTGATTTTATGCAGCACACAGCTTAGGTAACTGACAGCAAGGTACACTGGAGTTGCTTATCAGTAAAAAGGTATGCCGCCTGTCATGCTAATGCTTTTTACTCAGTCGAAAGTACAGTAAAAGCATGTCTGGGGAATGATAATGTGGTGAGGGATATAACCAGCGACCAATCCTCTGTTTTTGAGTGTTTAAAAAAAAAAGAAAAAAAGATGTTTCATTCATCTGACAGCTTTTCATGAGTTAGAGTAGAAAGTGTATCACTGATGTAAGTTTAAATGAATGACAGAGATTGCTCAAGGAGCAAAACTCTTGATTTGTTTGCATTTTATCATGTAAGAACCACAGGAATGAATTTGTTTCATAGGGGTTTTTATGTAAACGACCAATGCAAAAGAGCACATAAATGATATGAGTTTTTTTTATAAATAAACTATCTGAATACTGAATACTTACAAGCACATTTTGCTGTAAATATAGTTGCACTTTTTTGCATTATGTCTCCTGCTTTGCCGTTTAGATATACAGTTTTTTTAGATGGACAGATGTTTTAATTTGCTCATTCTTTGCAAAATACATTAAAACATGACATTATAGTCTTCATTTATAGGGGAACGACATAATGCTGACCTCGACCCTTTGCAAGTGCAAGAACTTCAAGTCTGTTGGGATTTTTATTTAGTTTCAACAAAGTGTAAACGTGAATTCAATACGTTTTGATCCAGAAGTCCATTTGTGAGGTCAGACACTGATGTTATTTCTTTGGGTTAAAGTCAGAACCCTGTGCACAAAGGTCTTTCACACCAGAACTCTTATCTCTAAACTGTTCCCAAAGAGTTGGGACCATAAAATTGTTCAAACAAGCCTAATATGCAGAAGCATCAACAGATACTGTCACTTGAACTTCGTGACCAAGTCCAACTACTGTAAAACATCATGACAAGACCTGACACAATGAAGTCATGCACCTGGCTCTTACACACCCAGATTTTTCCATTAAATTTCCAAAGTACAGAGAACACGACTCTACTGTTCCGGTTTTGCCCTGCTTTACGCTGTGGCCCTGGTGCTGTAAGGTTTGAATGCAGCTTCTGGGCCAAAGTAACCAATTCCTCAGAGCTCTCTTTGCACTGCTTTACAGCTAATCTGACAGCCACATGTAAGTTTGTAGTTTTTTTGACACTGCAGAAAGTTGGTGACCTCAACGCACCATGTGCCGCCAGCATCTGCTGACCCCTCTCTGTGGTTTTACATGGGAATGACAGCAACTCGTCACTTCCAGTTTGTTTTAATTCCACCAAAAGCAGACTGTGGAATTTCTCTGGTCGTGGTTAAATTTCACAACTACGTCCACGGCACAAAGCTTAAGTTTCGCATGGCGTTAGAGAGCAATGTTTGCCGAATCAGTCTCCTAGCTTAGGTGTTGGACTAAGCATGTCATGTTTATTCCAACACCTAAACATGACATGCTTAGGTGTTGAAAGTGTTTCTAAAAGTTCCATCTTGATTTTTATCTAGTTTCAATAATACTTGAGTCCACTGGAGTTGAGGCTGTGGAATTTCAAGTGTGGAAATTCCACACAAATGAGACATCACTGTCTTAGTTTGCACATTCAAAGATACAATTTTGGGATTCCAGTGCTCTATGAGTTCCCAGTGGTCCGATAATTATCCAGAAAGATCAAAAAGTAGGGCCTGCTGTCATTTTCAATTTCAGGAATGCAGCATTCTGAGGTGAGTGAAGCACCTGCCTAGTTTAAGATAATTATATAGAATGTTATTAACGAGTAATCGCTGCAACAGTAGCATGTGTGTTGTGTTGATATTGTAGCAATGTTGCACATGTATGATATACTTGAAAATCCTGGCGCTCACTCAGCAAAGCCTTCCCAACCATGTTTAAAAAGACGGAGCAGTAAGTCACTTTTTCAGTTTCCCTTCTGAAGTTCTCCTGGAATGTTTGCTCCACGTAGAAAAGACTCTGTTTCTTATCTGGAATCTTGCTGAAGCCTTTGACAACACGCAATTACTCCAATCCCTTCATGCCATTATGACGAAGACTTCAAAAACTGTTCCTTTGACATTGCTTGCTCCACACCAGGGGAATGCTTTTCACCATTTTATGTGACAGTGTGGAGAATGAAACCGACAGTGGTGCTCGTTCTTAAGAAACACAAGGACTGTAAGGACACAAAAAAAAACTGCACTGAACTCATGGTGAGAAATTCTTTCATTCTACCATTTTGGTTTTCCTTTCTGTCTTAGCACACAGCATTATTTCCCCCAATCAAAGTTTAGGAAAAACTTTATATGTCAGAGGATCTGAATTAGACTAAAAATAATACCAATATGGGTGTCTAATCAAGTGGGATATTCATGAATTTGGAGAATAATGTCAAAGTCCAGGCTGAGTCAAACCAGCCAACTCTACTTTTTTTTTATTCAACCCCATCCATATTTTAACCTACAGTTTATTGACAAAACACCCCAAATTGGCTCATTTATTTTTAATAATATCAGTATATTACCTCAGCAAATAACATTTAATAGGAGTTCTGTAGAGGCTGTGCAATGTGGTGTAATGATAGAAAAGTATTGTAATTATTCAGCACTGCTCTGTTTGTGTCTCAGCTGATTGGCCTCTCAATCAGGACTTCTTTGTTCCTTCGTGAGCCGCAGCGGATCTCGACAGCATCTGCTCAATGATATTTTTCCAGGGGAAATTAAGGACACTGATACATGGATCTCTTGCTAAAAGGCTTGCAAGCAATCAACAAGCAGATCGTTTGATTTCTAACGTAGATCGCTTACTTGGAACTCACAAACGCACACGGGTGGGTAAAAGGCAAATCCTCATCACTTCTTGACCTTTAGGTGACGTCGTTACGTGGCTGGGATGGACCGCCGCGTGAGTCCACCACGAGCATGTTAATGCTGATAAACAGAATTTGTCAGCTAAAGTGATGGTGGAGAAAAAGAAAAGAAGTCAGCCTAAAGCCTGTTTGAGTTAGGGTCAACTGATTTGACTATCCAGCTAAGCAGGGAGCTCCCTCGGGGGACCCAACCCTCTTCATTCCAGGAAGGCGTCAAACCTCATCTGATAAACAAACGTCTCCCGCCGCTGACTGTCTGAGACAGCCTGGTGGGTCTTTGCCCTTCGAGCCTTCTGCTTCGTTTTAAAGAGAGTGGTGAGACATAAAATAAAAACGACACACTGCTGGAGGAGTGGTTTTTAGTTTGTTTTTTAAAGAAGGATAAAATGATAAGACTTAGACCAGGGTTTAGCTCCTAACTATTGGTGTGTGCAGAGAAAACAAACACGATAAACAAAAAGCAGATATACTTTGAACTTACACTACTGCCTTATCACTTAAAGTTAAAAATAGATGCCAAGAAAAGGGGCTGACGTAGTGTTAAAGCCTCGCAAATGCTGGAACTACTCCTGGAACGGGGATTGGGTGGCTGAACGATGTTAATGATTTATATTAATTACAGTTAAAGTTAAACAATGTATGTTGAAGTTTAAATTTATATGGTAAACTCTCTCTTTATCTATACAAAATGCACCCACAATTCCTGCAGAAATTCAGAAGTGCTACCTTTTGTAGTGCAGCGTTCTCTTCATACCCCGTGGTTCCTGCAGGTGCAATGTGAATTTTGTAATTTGGTTGAATTTTTTTTTTTGCTTGAGTGTTTAAAATCTTTCTTAAAGTGAACAATGTGTCCTGGTTTAGTTTTCAAATGACAGATTACAGTTATACCAACGTAAAATTGGAGGATTTGGGGTTCTTCCAGCTGAATATCAAACAGACAGCAGGAGGATGTAAATTTATATATATATATATATATATATATATATATATATATATATATATATATAAAATCTATTTCTTTTAGTTGACGCTTCATTCAGCTGCCTGTCTTTGCATTCAGCCTCCAGTAAAAGAGGTCCAACAAGTGGTGACTAAAATAGAAATAGCATCAGTGCTGAAGAATTGGACTATCAAGGTTCAATAAAATCGCAGTTCAGGAACTGATTGCTATCTTCCATCCTGTCTCAAAGTGTACATTTTGGGTGTTTCGTGTTTAAAATCCCCTTGCAACTCGCTCAAGCGGGAGGGATTATTGTGTTTTAAATTCTCCCAGGTGTGATCTTATCCAAAAAGCCCAGGGTAAGTCGTTTTGGCTTAGAGCTGAGGTATTGTGTTACCGCCTGGATTTATTGATGTTTTTTTCAAGTGGAAACCTCAAAATAATTGCGCACAGCTAAGCGGATATGGCCTTCTCATAGCAAAGCAATTTTTTAAAAAGTTATTTTTTATTTATTTTCTAATTTGGGACAGAATAAACTTGTCGATGCTTCACACATTTTCCTCTGTGATAGTAGATTTGATCATTGTGTGTAACATCGTGGGGTATTGTTCAGAAAGAGTTTTTTTCAATCCCTATTTCTTGTCAGAAATCATTTGAAAACAAAACATTTTAATAGTAGAAAAGATAAACTCTATAAAGTAAAAAAAAACACACAAAAAACGTGCATACATAGAATGAAAAGTGTTCATTTGGAATGAAATGTATGAAAGAAATGATATTGCATGTCACTTACTATGCTTAGAACAGATCTAGTATATTATGACATGCCTAATGTAGTTAATCTTATTGGTATAACCCTACAAAATCTGACATTTATAGATCTATTTTTATTGCTGGTTCAGGTCAAGGAGTAATTTTCTTTATTAGCTCAGAAAATATTAAAAATATTAATATTTGGCCTCATTTCCTACCCTAATTTAGCCAAAGCCAATAAAAAATAAAGTCAGGTTTATTTAGCTCATCTCATCATCTCATAACAATTTGTACATGGGCATCTTTCACCTATCACTCTGCTGCGCTTATAAAACACGCCATTTGAATTTATAGAATAAAATAAACTATTTACATGGACATTTCGAAATCGGTATTAAAGGACAGCATTAAAAACAACCTGCTAAAATGGCCGAACTGACATAATCAGCCTCTTTTTGCCCATATTGGGGTGCGATCCATGTCAAAAAGAAGCAAAATGAAGGATGGGTGTGTGATAAAGAGAAAAATGTTCTACTGAAATTGAGATATTTTTTTTAAAATCCATTCTAACAATGTGGTAATGTATAGTCTGTCCTTGACAACTGCAGCTAAGTTCATTAGCATGTAGTTCATCAGGATTAAGAAGCTCAGTTTGCTACCATGTTCGGTATTAGCATTAGTGTGGTCGCTAAGCTAATGTAAGCTAGATAGATACACACTTCTGTTTCTGCTGAATTCTTTCTGAGCTACAGGTCGTACAAATGGCTCTTAACTTTTGCTAAGCAACAATATTTAGTCACAATATAAGCTTTTGAACGACATTAGCTCTCTCTGCTCGACACCAAACACAACTTCGCTAAAATTCTGAACAAAAACCAATTGCAAACGTTGCTAGAACGTGAGCATTGTGAAACATTACCTTTACAGCCTAACGCGTTTTACTCAAAATTCAATTATTTTAATGTCAAATGCATTCCAAAATTCATTTTGGCAGCACAGCTTGGCAGCAAGTGTGACCTAGCGTTAGCGCTATCGCTAAACCGGATGAAACTTTAACATTGAAACTTTTATTTTTTAGCCACAAGTCTTATGATGGGTTCTCAAAGTTAACATGTTGATATATTGATTCAATATTTTTTAAGCCTTAAAAACATAGCTTTACTCAAAAAAAGAAAAGAAAAAAAAGGGTAAATAAGAGCCATGGACGTTTGAAACATTTTTTGGGGGGTCAAAACAAAATGCTAATATTGAATAGTTAGGCAAAACAAAACAAAAGTATCAGAATACAACAATTAATGAATGAGCTTGAAAATTACATTTAGAATCTACAGAAATGTGCCTTGTTAAAACATACTCAGTTTAATTGGCTGATATTTAGAGCTTTGCAAAATGAGATTTGCAGTGAAGTTTGGCAGGCAATAGGGCCACCTGATGCTTTGTGATGTTAATAATGCAGCCACGGTTATTGACATGACGGTATATTTGTGACACTTGTGTCCAACCCATATCATATGCACTCCACCAACTATCCCACATAGTTTTATTATTTTTTACAAAATTTTAACTTAATTTGTATTTTTTTTCGTGCACCAGACTTTCTAGGTGTCTTAGAAAGTCTTAGAGTAAACTCCTAATGAGTAATAAGATATAAATTCAACCAACTTTTGCGCATCTGTTTTCTTACCCTCCCACTCCCTTAATTCAAGAATACACGAAAGTCCACCTGAGAGGAGGAGAATTGGCTCAGTCGACATTTCTTTCCGATTGTTGGAAACAGTGGTTCGCCCATCTGAGCTGTGGCACCTGCAGGAGCCGCCGGGGGACCCCCGTCCACATCATTACGCAGAGAGACAGAGAGAGAGTAAACAGGAGCCCACCTGTCTGCGGGAGGCGGCCGTGGTGCTGCTGCTGCCGGAGGAGACGCTGCCGACCATCCTGCCGCCCTGGCTCGCCTCCCTCTTCCACTTCTTGCTGCCGCCCTTCGGGTGGGACGGCAGCGGGTTGAGGAAGAGGATCCTGGCGATCAGCCCGTACAGAACGGTGGCCAGCATGAGGGGCAGCACGTAAAACACGGCGAAATCCGTGAAGTAGATGGGCAGGTAGTGGCTCCTGGACACCTTGTATGCGCAGGTGAGCAGCGCCGCGTTGTCGTACACCAGCGTTTTGGTGTCGGACAGGAACAGCCACATGACGCAGTAGGCCGAGGTGAGCGCCCACACCAGCATGATGATCTTCTTCGCCCGGGACAAGGTGCACAGGAACTGGGCTCTGATGGGGTGGCAGATGGCGATGTAGCGCTCCACGGTGAAGGCGGTGATGGAGCAGGAGGACGCGTTGATCCCCAGGTACTGGAAGTAGGTGATTCCCAGGCAGCCCGCGTAGCCATACACCCACTGCCCGCACAGGGCGTTGCTGATGTTGGGCAGCCCGGCGGCAGTCAGCACCATGAGGTCTGCGGCCGCCAAGCTCACCAGGTAGCAGTTGGTGGGAGTTCGCATGTGCTTGGTGGTCAGGACCACCAGGATCACCATGACGTTGCCCACGATCCCCAAGCCGCAGATGAGGGACACCAGGAACACGCTGACCACCTTGTACTCGACAGAGTAGTCGTTCCAAACGCCCAGAGTCTGGTTTTCCGGCACCGACGTGTCATTCTCCAGAGTCATGTCATCCACCGTGAGGTTTTCCATGACAGAGAGAGGCTGTAGCTCTGTGCGCTTTGGAAAGAAATCACCTTAAACATTGAAGAAGAAGGGGAAAAATACTTTAAGTGTCTAACAAAACTGAGGTAGAATAAAATTGTTAAAAATATAGCCTATACAAAAAAGAGAACCCCTCCAGCCTCTCTAATTACGCATAAAAATACTTCATATCTTCCCTCCTCGTGGAATATATCCTGCGATGCGAAGCGAAGTCGGCAAAGAAATCTCCAGTACGCGTGCCATACGCAGCCAGAAAAGGCTCGCAAAACGCATCAGCGGACGTGCTGCGTGCAGCGGCTCCTGCTGCTCCTGCCTCCTGACTGAGAAGCTTTCTGCAGAGCCCCTCTGCTCCTGCGAGCCTCACGGTGACGCACTGGGACCACCAGCTTCTTCCTCCCAGACCAGGGACTTCCAGACAAATACATAACAACTCGTTGGGAATAATAATAATAATAATAATAATAATTTCATGTCTTGGTACTTTTAAGGCCTTATTTTTGATCTTTTCTTGTGTTACTTTTTTCCAGTATGAATCAATACTCTTTTTTTTTTGCATCAACAACTGAATGGAAAACGGAGCGCGGTTTCATTGAACACGTCATGCGCCAGCGTATTTGTCTCACTTAAAAACAACATTACACCCACATCATGCTGATAAACACGCCGCACATCAATTACTGGAGAACTTTCCAGTCTTTATTGTCAGGATGTAGAATGCTGTTGCCGTGATTTGTAGCCGTTCCGGAGGGGATTTAATAGAGACCGATACAAGGGGCGCACCGATTTATCGCTGGATTTCCTTAATGGTGATCTGCCGATACTGATATGTGAAACCGATCTTTTCTACCTCAGAATATACATATACAAATAAAATCACCTCTTTCTTGCTGCATCAAAAGTCAAGGAAAAGAAGTGGACAATGAAAGTCTGCAAATGAATTTCCTTTTCATCTCCTTTGTTTTTTTTTCTCACATTTACAGTAGGCTACCTGTTCTTGTTTGTTTTTTGTTTCTTTCAGCAAAAACATAAGAGGATATAGTTAATCTGTTATGATTCATAATTGATCTAAAGATTTAATGGTATATGAGAAAGCAAAAACATGTAGAAATTGTTGCAGGTTTATTATGTAGCTTTAAAAAAAAAAGACCCTCAAAAATATATTTTAATTCAACCAGAATCACTAGCAACACAGTCATCACATCGTGATAGTCAGTGGGGGGGAGAGGCAGTAATTTATATTGGGTCATCTGGGCAGTTGCCCAGGGCAGCATCAGGAAGGGGAACACATAACCCCCATATGAAAAAAATAGTTATGAGGGTTTTTTAAAAATTCCTTTTATGGCACACTGTCCTTGTAATTTCATAGTGCAAATTTTGATCACACTGTCATGCTTATGCATGTGTCACTGCTAGGGATGCTTGAATTACACATGAATTACATTAATAAAGTCATCTTGTCTGATCTTGTCTTATCTCATTCATGTGGTGCCAGTCAGAAATTGATGTCCCCTGCATGCTGCCAACAACAAGGGGATGTACTTTGTGTGGAGTTGCAGTGGAAATTTCTGGAAATTTTCTGCTTTCTCACTCGCAGTAGAAGGAGGGGATGGCTAAAATTGCTTTTCATCTGAGAAACCAACAACAGAAACTCATTTAGAAGGCAACTCAAAAATAAAGACTTTTTGTATTTGCATCATTGCACCCTCCTGTGCTCTCTCCCACCCTCCCCCCAGCCTGTGTCGCCCTGGGTGGAAAGCCATATTGCACAAACCCTGCTGTCAATGAACATAGTCAGGGTGACCATAAGAAAGGAGAAAGCAGAAGATTTTATTTTCGAAAGCGGTGGAAAAGGGGCTTAACCCAAAAAACCTTGTCCCAGTTATTGGTCAAAACTGCTGAACTTCTGTTCAAGCACTGAAAACTCAGATTTAGAATTTAAAAAACAGACAAACAGAGTTTTTATTGTGCATAGTGTGTATATATATCTGTACCTCATATCTTCTCAATTCTACAAGTGTGCGCTGCTGTCTTTAAAGGAGTCTTTCTGTGTTTCGTTCCAGATGTGGGAGGACTGCTGTGCGTTGACCTGATGACCTGACTCTCCCCTCCACATGGGTTCAGAAATCATTTGGTAGCAGCTCACTTGCTTTGCTGCTGTTGCTTCAATAACAAGCAACAGTACGGCGGATCTCTGCTGGGCTGGATCTAATTTCCACACGCTTAACGTCAAACAGACTCCTGGACGTGAGGCAGTCGAGAAGAACTGAGCTAATTTAATTGAAACACGGACCGTGGTGGTGCCGGGAAGATTTTGATCGTGAAGCTATCACCTGAGTGTTGAAAGCAAACGTGTACACGGCATGAGTGTGGCGTCTCATCCTCACAGGCAGCGCCGTCGTCTTTCTCTCAGAAACTCGTGGCGTCTGAAACGGGTCCGGGTTGTGGTGTTCAAAGAAAAAAAATTAAAATAAATAATATATATATATATATATATATATATATATATATATATATATATATATATATATATATATATATATATATAGATATATATATAGATATAGATATATATTATAAGGTTTCTCGCACACACTCCAGACGCACACCGGGTGAGCTCCAAACTGAAATGTAAACACAATTTTCCCAGCAGCTGACACCTCGACTTCGCTGTGAAAGGTTATAGAGCAGAACAGATGCTGCTGAAGGCGTAGAACCTGCTGCCGAGCGGCGACCACAGCAGCTCCGACCTCAAGACAAACATTCTTGTTTGTCACTGTGCCGTGCAATCAGAGTTTATGCAATTTGTTTAAAAAAAAGGAAAAAAAAGACATGGATGTACGTAGTGAAACATGAGATCTTGGTCTTTTGGGTATTAGACAAATATCTTTGTAAACATTTTCAATTGCAGCAGGACTTTAGTTATGCTTACATTTTAATAGGTGTTCATCTAATTATGGTCATCGATTATTTACTGATCAAACTTCAATCATCTTATCGTTATTACTGTGTCGGCACGAGGGATTGCTGCAAAGTCCTTTACTTAATTCAGCGAGGTTTGGCTTGTCGGCATCATGAACTCAATGTGATTGCACTGCATCACAACTAGAGGTAAATTAGCAAATGTGCAACTGATTTTAAATACCAGTATGATTGGATTTTGTAGTAATTTGGTTATTTCTGTATATGAACTGTTAGACGTGCAAAGTGTTGTTAATAACTGGTTTGATTAAAAAAATAATAATCATAAAGGTAGTTTAATTGGGAGCACACGTCATGAATCAACCTTAATACAGCATCAAAATGGAAATGTTAAGACGGAATGATTGAATTCGGTGCAACATAAACACCCACTTCTTGATCTCTCCTAACCCCTAACCCTAACCCTAAAACTTACTAAGTTAACATTAGCATCAACGTTCAAATTAAATTGGTTTTAACTTTATAGTTAACATTGATCTGTTCATTGTGAAGTTAAATCAATGTCTAATAATTTGTAACTTTTTTGTCTGAGTTGTTTTGTTATGTTGTGTAAATAATGATTTAATAAAAAAACATTTGAGGCATCTTAAAAAAAGGGTTAGGGTGCAATCAAGAGAAGCCATGTTTTTCTTTGTATTATTATTTTTGCATGTTTTTTTAAAACTACTCTGGAGCAAAAATTGTGTGCTCTGAATATCTTTCTTAAGTTTGTCTTGTATACTAATTTTTTTATATGTATATATATTTTTTGTTTTAAAAGTTAATTGATTATAAATTGCAAGTCCTTGTAAGTTAAAAGAAATTAATTATTTGTCACTTAACACTTGCTCATAAGTTATTTATGTATGAAGATATACTTAAATAAGAAATGAACAAAGACTCAGTTTTGAATTATATCCTCAATGCTCTTTAAGACTAGCAGGCTCAGGCAGTGTCAGAAATTGGGCTCATTTCTTCTCCTAATCTGCGAAAAACAGAGATAATACAAATGGATAAAAGCAGAATAATGAGGTTTTTCTGCTAAACTAGGTCATTTTCAAAGAGTGATCAGCTAAAATATTTGCACATTGGAAGAATTAGACTAAAATCTTCACCTGTATTTCTTTTCTCCTTGATGTTTTAATGTGAATTTCAGGTACATTTCTACCACATGCAATACAGGAACATGTGAAATGTAATACAAGTTCTTGTGTGATGAAAATCTTACTTTTTTTTTTTTTAACAAACTCAAACAGCTGTAGATTGAGATCAAATCAAAACATTCATGTGAAAGTTACATTTTGGGAATATCCGCTCTCGATGACATGGGGGACAGTGATAAACCTTGAACTTCAAATGCTGTCAAATTATCACAATTTCAAACCTCACTGTGCATATTGTGTGAATTTAAATGCAAAGTATTAATCTTTCTCTTATTTTCTTTAATCAAGAAAATGTATCACAATCATCTCCATCATTGCTATAGAACCGCAGTTTCACCTTTGTCTTGGAGTATGTCTGTACATAGCTAAGACTCCCTTAGCTTCTGTGACATCAACTTTCAAGTTTTGCCACAGTTTTATTTAGGTCTGGTTCGCTCTTCTTACTAGGACTGCACTGTATTTACAGGCATATAGGTAAGAAAGTTCAAATCTTTGTCTCATCTGACCAGAGGACCGTGTTTTATGTCTGCCTACTGCAAAGTGGACTCCTTTTTCCATCTTGGCATTCTTTTGTAAAGCCCAAATTAGGTTTATTACTGTCACCCGTGTCAACTAATAGTTGTCCGGTCAACAGATTCTCCAATTCTTACTCAGTTGGGCCGGCCAGATTCATCTCCATTGGCAGATTCCCTATTTTTGTGGAATCACCTCAGGGATAAGCGATTTGATTGGCAACAGACCGCATTCGTTGGTTGGCCAATGAATTCACGCTACTGTATGAGTGAAGGTGGTTACTTGTAGAAGACCACATATACCATCAACCGGACAGAGCAACACTCAATGAACAAATACTGTATATTGAGAGATTTCAGAGAAACTGGCAACTCGAGCGTAAACATGCAAAATGACATCGTCCGAGCATCGATGCAGATCCTGTATGTTCACGTTCCCACCCAAGTTCTTGCGTATATTTACGGCACACACTGCCAATGGAGACACACTCAACCTGTCTAAAACCAAGCCAACTTTATTTGGCTTGACAATGAATAAGGGGCTTAATTAGTGCCATCTTTTCCCAGCCTTTGAGGTGAATGGTCATGTTTTCATAGGCATACTCTACATTTTTAGGTCAGGTACTGAATCCTCAAAGAGCAACAAATACCTGAGCAAG